GACCCATTCTATGTCGGGACCTATACGGAGAATTAACTCATAGTTAATTTTTATATTGATGTCTTTTGTGTTATTATTATCTATCACCTGGTGTGAATATAGTCATAATAAAGATAGTGCTAGTTGAATAAGCCCAGTTACTAGTATAGTATAATATTATCTGTGAACTAGTCAATGACCGTTATTATACTATATATAAACTTTAGAATTAGTTACTATAGTTATATGCATATGACAATTATGGTTATGTTGACCAAAGTATCGTATGTGTTGGTGTAGGATATATGAAGTAGTTTGCTGTGTGGTCCTGACACAGAATAGGTTATTTCTTACTTTCCTGTGGGTGTTGTAAGAGGCGACTAAGGGAACTCAATGGTCGAGTGATGGACAGCAGCGTCTCTCTTAAAACATCACCAAAAACCTAACTGCAGTTGCCAACCTGAGTGTCAAGTGTGCCAACTCCTAGCAATAGAGAGGCTCATAGGGGAGGACTATTTTCAGTTGTGGTTAGTTAATGATTGATTTGATAATAATGATATGAAGTAGTTACAAATGCCTTAATTACAATATTGGTAAAGAAAACACACTTTAAATATTTCAAATTAATTTTTACTCTCAAATCCTTAAAGTACTTCCAAGTTTTTTATTAACTCATAACCCATATATTGATGTTTTGTGTTTTATTATCTATCTACACTCTCTGGTATGAGTGTAGCCGTCGTAAAGATAGTGTTATTTGAACAAGCCCAGCCAATGACGGCTACTTTGTAACCGAAGAGCGACTTATCGCAGCGGCGCGCATCGCTGAACACCGGACTCCAATTTCAACTGACAACACCCATGCAGGCGTTCCGTTGTCATAATTCGCATGTTCCGACAATACAGCCCCTATTAATTGGTCGCACACGTATTTCATTCTACTAATGATATGTTTTTAGATATAATGTGTTAAAGTTAATATAAAATAAATATATGCTTAAGATTTTAATACAAAATAATAAATTATAATTTTGTAAAGCTTATGGAAGTAAAAGAGCATAGGTACTTGTTTTTGTAATATATTATTATACTTATACTAGTGGCAGAATCTTATTTCAATAAATATACACTTTTATGGTAACTGATGTCTGTATTTTTATTTATATTATTTCTAACAAATTTTATCATCAATTTGTCCTAACCTTGTCCTAAATAGTCAATTAAATATATAACATATTTAATTGACTATTTATACTATGCTAGACTATTTATATTATGCTGATTGTACTTATGTAAACCCATATTAAATGTGTAATATGCCATTTGTAGTTCCAAAAAAGAAAAAAATAAATTACTTCTAAATTTGAATTTACATTATTTTTGTTCTGAGTAATCTCACAAAGTCAATAGTACAGTATATTATTTTTTTATTCGCAATTTCGAATTATCATAACTAGGTTTTTACTTATTAACAGGTTTAAAGGTAATTTTTTCAGTATTTTAAGCATAGTCACACTATATAAAAAAATACTGGTTTGACAAAATATTATCATAAAAAGTTTTGACGTCATACTCGGGTCAACAAGGGTCGTATGCGCATTGTAAGTAGATACCTATTTTTGTTTATATTCTTGAACCCTTTGTTTTGAAAAACCCACTGGTTTGAATGTGCAATTTCGGTTTTTAGGATCAAATATTATTATATCTACTGTAATTATGATAATTCTCTAATATAATATAGAAGCATAAAAATATAATAAGTGCTTTGTGCTTTTTAGATTAAAACCTTGAGTTTTTTTGTTTTTGTAACTTTGAATGGCAAACAACACCTGATGGAAAGTGATAACGTTATCAACGCAATACGTTGATAGATTGATTTTTCTACTTAGAAAAATCAAGCTTTGTTTAACATAATTAATCTTTGCATGTTTCTTTTTTTATCAAAATAACGTTACAAACATTGAACAATATTCTGAAGAAAAAGGTTTCATTTTTAATAATAATGAATGGTTGTACTTTTAGTAAAAAGACACTGTTTGTTAACAAAATAATTTCATTGTTTATATTCGAATGAAAAAATATCACGTTTGAATAAAAAAACTGTACGAAAAAAACATAAATATTCATATAGAAGTAATTTATGATATTTTTTTTACGGAAAATAGAAAACTGTTTTTAAACAATTGTTTAACTTAATCCAAATATAGAGGAGGCCTAACAGTTCATTAATATTTGATTATCGATAAACTCTTGTTTTTAATTTGATTTTAATGTTATAAAGGTATTAAATTTTCTCTGCTTGCACTTTGCTATCAATAAATGTTTATTAGTGAGATTGGATCAATAAAACGCTATCGATTGGTACCATAAAAGTACAATGTGATATCAGGTTTACTTTTTTTTTAAGTTTCGGCTGAGCCAAGTAACATTTCAAACATTTCTGAGTGCCAAATTGTTCTTGATGTCTTAAAATGAATAAAATTTAAAAGTATCAAGAAAAATTTGGCACCATTAGTGTTTGGGACTTTATCCATCGCAATTATTTTCTTTCTGATACTCGTACACATACATATTAGTGTTCTGAAAGACTGGACAACAAAATTGACTATAAGTAATTTAAAATTTTTCAAAATACCTAACTTCAATTTTAATTTCAAGTCCAGTTTTTCAATTAAGAATTGTAACATACGTAAACATGTATGAACCAATTTGGTTATAATTCGCGAATTATTTTTTTTGTAAATCTATTAAAATTTTATGTTTTGCATATTTATATTTTAATCATATATCACATTGACTTCCCCTATGAAAGATTTTCTAGAACTGTCCACGAGAACTGCTTCAGTTTAATTCGTTTAGGTAGTAAGTATAGCTTATTTTTGTGTAAAACCAGGCGAGTATAAACAGTGTATTCAATACCTAATTGTTTTACTAATTTTTTGTGGACGTCGAACGAAAAAAGCGATGTCGTGCTTCCAAAGTATAAATAATTGAATAAAAGACTAACTGTACAACTTAAGAGGTCCTTTTGATGTCTCTTCGCTCTGTTTGATGAAAACAAGTCGGTGGTCTCAAACGGAGCGTTTGAGTTTTGAGTGGGGTTCATGTGTACAGAGTAACTTATGCTATTATTTCTAAGTCAACCTTGCCCCGTGTTTGACCAAATCTGTTGACGTCCTTTTACTGCGACCCTTTAATCTCTTACCGACCAATCTACGTTCGTGTATTAAATAAATAGATCAAGTATTTGTTATGTAGAGTGTGTTGTTTCACTACTCGAACGTACATTTTTTTTCACAGAGACGCTTTTAGTGCTATGGGTGATTGACAAATTTTCGTTAATTACGGACAACTCTATTCCATAAAGTAGTTTTCTTTCTGCCGAGTATTTTAGAAATATTTATTAGTAACTAGTGATCTGACCCGGCTTTGTAAGAGTAGACAGAATTTTCGAAAATCAATACATAGTTTCAGCCAATTCAACTGATCGGTTGTTTTATAGCATTTTATATGTGATTCTTTAGATTGATATAACTTTTTCATTTATGATCGGATTGAAATAAAACAAACATTAAATGTTAAATGGAGCAAATCGGAATGCAATAATGAAAACCGCATTGTAATCGGTTAAGCCGTTTCTGAGATTATCGTGCAAAAACGTACATACAAACGAACATACAGACAAAAAGAAAAAATCTAAAAATCATTATTTTGGGTTCTTTCGCGTTCATAAGCCACCCCCCCCCCCCCCCTATAATAGTATTTGTCATGTATCTTCCATGCAGAGATTGATATATCAAAAATAAATATAATAAACATTAATAAACATAGGCAATTTTTTTTTTATAATTATGTATTTTAAATATAAATTAAATATTAAAATATTAGGCACTACATATACATATGTCATAATATGAAAGCACCAAGTGTAAACTTAACCTTTTTTTTATTAATTACTGTATCGACATAATTGTTTTCTATTTCACTGATTTGTAATGTGCGGATCATTTGAGGAACAACATTACGAAATTTCGTATGAAGTTTATTCGTTATAGACTCTCATATATAGAACACATTTTTAGGTTAGAACTAATGTAGCGACTACGGGTAACAATTTTAGGAAACCACTACCTTTTTCCGGGGAGGATACCCTTAAACACAATTATCAATTACTATATTCTAATGATCTTTAGATAAATATCCAAAGTCGAGCTGCAGTGAAGTATATGCCTACTATACTAAGGATATATTTTATAAGAGTATGCTTGTTATTTTATTTAGTTATATGACTTTGCTTAAAAATTACAACTTTATATAGTGTAAAATAATATTATATATCTTATGCTAGATTTAGAAAATATATGACAATTGAATTAGAAATATAATATCTATATCCATAAAAACACACTATACGTTACTATTTACTTAATACCTTTTAACCCCGGCTTATACTAATTATTTTTAAGAATCAAGTAACTCGAGATTCCCAACACGAGCGACGGGCGCGTCACAAACTTGCTTACTGGTAGTTCAAACGAATGCCCCTGATATTATCGCTACGGTGCCCTAGAATTGGAATTAATTTGCATTTCGTTCAAAAATAAAACCAACAAGAAAGCGTTCTACTTGTATTGTCGTGTTTGATGCTACTCTCAAATGGACCGTATAGCAATCTTTTCACAGTAAATTAGTTGTAATGGGTTGGGTAATAAAAACTAATTACGGGTAATGCGTGTCGCAATTGCAAGCTCTTAATTGTTTAGAAAATGTTAAATTTGTACATTTTTAAAGTAAACAACAACAAAGTCAATTTAAATTTTTAAATGCAATTACATTTATGCAGTGTAAGGCTATCTATAACCGTTTCACGCAGGTGATATTTTGCAGTGGCAGCTGTTACACGACCTTATCTAGTTAGTATCCATATAAGTAAAGGGCGCTGTGCATCAAAATATCACAAGCGTAAAGGGGTGTACCGAGGTGCTGTTCATGTGTTGACGTGGTGAATTATGTGATTGCAGTTGCTCGTTGGCAACAGCGGGGCGGGGACTGGCGGCGCAGCGACGTCGCCGGACGGCGGCTCGAGCTCAGCGCCGCCGTTGTCGCCGGGCGGGTCGGCCGTAGCCAGTGGTGCCCTCTCCCCTGGAGCCGGCAGCCACGCCAGTACCCCAGCCGCTTCCTGCTGCGATACACCCCGTCCCATTATCACCGACCCCGTCTCCGGCCAAACGGTCTGCTCTTGTCAGTACGACGGAGCGAGACTAGCCCTCACCTCGTATCCTCGTCTCTCGAGCGCGGCTGTTGGCGTCTATGGCACTCCCTACCCGTCAACGGACCAGAACCCCTATCCCAGTATCGGCGTCGATAGTTCAGCATTCTACTCACCTTTGGTAAGTAAAAATTGTACAGATAATTCATGGTTCAATATTGATTAGTATCTGTTTTCATCTTAATACACATATACAAGGTATCATTGGAATCTGGTAATATTCTAATTTGAATGATTTCCGTCTGTAGATAACATGACTCGCTAGCCTTAATTGGATCTCTGTTTTGTCCCGACTTACACCATTCCGCTTCGTGTTTCCATTAAACATAAGCCAGCTAGAGCTAAGCTAAATGTAAGACCATATACTTTTCAGTTTTCTATAGAGGCATGAGCAGCAGACTGCAAATTGTTACGAATAGGTCGTTTGCCGTATACGATGCAAGGTTTATCGCTCTCGCGTTCGATACGTGTTTGGCTTTTCTGGCATAGCGTGCGAGCGACCCGCGAACCGGTCTGGACGCGTTCGGCCAGAAAACCACCGACACCTCGCTCAGACCCCGCGCAGGCATCACCGCCGTCGTCCTGTCACGAAACATTAACTCAAAAAACAAATTTAAAAGCAACCGCTATTATACCAATTATAATTTATCTCATTTCAACCCTGTACATATTTTTTCTTTGTTTTTAAAATGATTTTTTTTTTCTCTTGGCTAGGCTTTATTAAAATGTGTCATTTCAATGCTGGTAGGTACTCTAATAAATAAATAAATGAATTCAATTCGCCTTTATGTATACATTGGTTAGCACTACCGGCTGGAATTACATTTCGGTGTAACACCTTGTCTGGGCATAGGGCAAATGGACGGGTGTAGTGTGTAGCGAGATCCGCAGCTCCCTATAAGGGACTAGAACCTTGAAAGATTTGTTTATATGGTGCAAAAGAGCACAGCACCGCCAAGTTATATATAAACATATACATATAGTGAGTTTAAAAAATAGTTTTTCCATTTAGGTATATATTTTATTTTTATCTTATTACCTCATATACATCATAGTTCAGAAATGTGTTTATTTACATGCGTTTTATTTAAGAAATGCTAAATGAAAGAGAAAAAAAATTATAGTAAATTTTCAATTTGATGAATACTACTAGATTTATATAAAAGATTTTTAAACATTTCAGCGAAACGCACATGTGAAATCCGTTAAACCCAGAAAATCCCATCGCACAGAGAACGAGACTTTTTTTGTGAATTTAAGAGGGATTTCCTCGCTTTAATCTTGAAGTGGTGAAACGTTCATAACGGAAGCTATCTGAACACACGAGTGACTCTTGGCTCCGTTATGATTTTAGTATTTTTTGTTTTAGTATTTCCCGACTCAGTTTACATATTATGATTGCGTTTCGAGTTCTTAATTTATAGATTGCAACCGAGATAAGTTAATCGCGAATCGTACCAGAGCTTTTTGTATAAAAATATGAGTTCACTCAACTCATCATAATTGTAATATCATGTGGCAAAGCGCGTTAGTAATTGTGGATGCATCCTAAATCGCCGGCAGTGAGATCTCTATCTGTCATTGTATTTAACGAGCTCACAGTATCTACTGTGACCCTGTGCATGTTTAATAACAGGTGTTTAAATGTATGTATGGTGTCATTGTGTGCCCTGTGCTCGTACCAAACTCACGACAAGCCTGGCCGGTTCCGTGCAAGCGACAATTTAGCGAACAATGACGACGCTGCGCCACAAATATACCCGTGCTTGTTTCTGGGTATGTAAGCAGCGCTCGATTGTTGTAAAACGATCTTTATGTTATTGGTTATAAGGCACAAAATACTGGTGAGGGCATTACAACCGTCGCAGGGGAAAATATTCAACTGCCATTTTTGTACACAAGCGACTCCGGTGGCGCCGTCCTGTTGAGTTGCGACTTACTAACAATACGGGCAGCGCCATCTTTTATCTATTGTACGCTTTTGATAATCAATAAAAAAGGGTTTGTTTGTGTCGCGGTGCTGTAATAATGTCAACTGGTTGCCCGCAGTTATATTTCTTAACGATGATGTTAAAACGCTGGCATTTAACGGTTATGTAGTTGATTAACACTTACTTACTGTAATTGATGTTTTAGGAAGTTTATATTATTAGTTATGTGCAGTAAAAGTCAATTATATTTGTATTTATATAGAGAAGTACTTACATTATACCATATCAGCCGTTAAATATCCACTGCTGAACAAAATTGTAGTACCCATACATAAGGATGAGTTATGGAAGTAGATTTTAGAAGATATGCGTGTAAGAATAAGAGCTTTTAGAATCGATTCTTCTACCTACCTGCCTACCTCCTATCTAACCCAATATGATAGAGATGTATTAGAGGGATTATTTTTTTATTAATTTACTGTTCACTGTTGAATTAATTATCTTTACTCAATGAAGTTGCTATCTACTAATTTGATTGACAGTAATCAGCTTGTTACAATATCAGTAATCAACTATTATGTGAGGGAGGATATTTTAATAAGGAAATTTATTACTAGGAATGTTAGGGCTGAGTGTTATTAAATATTCCACAAACTTATTTAAACTCTACGGAAAAGTAACTTTTCTAAATCATACTTCAAATTAATAGTAATGATCATCTTGATTCATTTTCAATGATTATATATGAATGATTAATAATAATACATGTATTAGTTTTCATTGGTTTTATATAAATGTACTATACTAATATTAAAAACGTTAATGTAAGTTTGTTTTAATATTTTAAATGTGAAAGTTAGTTTGTTTGTAATTTTTTGGCACTTTAATGGCTCCGTCTAAAATGAGTACAATATATGTCCAATATACAGCGACTTTTTCTTTCCTTCTCTTTATAGGTATCAGACATGTGATTCTGATTATTAATATAGATTATTGCAATCATTTTTATATGATTTCTAGGTCGCAAGAGTAAACGGTAAACGCCAAGCTCTTATTAAAGTAAGTGGAACAAATATTACGAGTATTAATAAAATGGCTGTGCACTTATCTCCGGATCTTTTTAATAGAACATTAATTTCCTGCTCATTTCGACAGAAAGACAAATACTTTCTTTTTATTATATTGACCGACATGATTACTATCTACAATTATTGGATACAGAAAGTTGCATATAGACACTTATGTTGTTATCAAAACTTGAGATAATGGATTAGATACTTGTATGTTACGCAAAATGTAGTTATATTTTTTGCCTGGTAGCATAAAAAAATTACATTAGCAATAAACTATATTATTATCTGCTTATTATTCTCATTCTACTATTATGTTCTTATTCCGCATAAAACTATAAAATGACACGAAGTTCTTCGAAATAGTAGCTGAATATTACAACAAATATTATAACAAAGGCCAACATCTTATACGAAACAAAACATAAACGAAAATATGAGCTTACTCATCCAGTAAATACAATGACAAACAGTTTAATCTTCATTTAACAAACTGCTGGCAAATCGTAGAGGGACACTATAAAATCTTTCGTCGGCCCGAACTGTAACATGTGCATTGCCGCGCCGCTTACGTACAACATATCTCACTCGTTTATTGCGAACGGAAATCTTCTGAACCCTACCCTTATACCGTATTACAACCAAATGATAGACATATGACGCCGACATCCGAAATTAATGACCACACGAAAGCGCAACAGTACCCTTGATGTTCACAATCCAAAAAGAAAGCACAAACTCACCAAATTCAGTGTACAATCGCGCACGAAACTTGTGCTTTTCATTATCGTGCCCAAATTAAAAGTTCGATAAGGGCACGGCGAAAAAACACGAGCGACCGTCCCAGCCGACTATAAAAACGTAACAAAACGTCGATTTAAATACATCACTAATCTTAAGTCAAAGAGAATAAGTTTAGAAGAGGAGACCAGAAATTCAATTAAAAGGGGCGCAGGAATGAGAGGCGCGATGCGCAGGAGCCAGTAGCGCGACCGAGAGGATAAATAAAAAGTAAAGAGAAATCAGGCGAATTGAGAATAGCCATTAAGGTGTTAATGAGGGTCTTATTAAGCCGTCTCCTCCCGGTGGGTGGTCGTTCTGTAGTGCTCGCTTTGTTCATTAATCACCACAGATTAAGTTTCGTCCTAATTATCAAATCTGTATCAAGGGTACAACAATAGCCGCGGTTTCTGATATGTTATCTTGAGTTCACTTTTTACTCGAATTTTTATTTTCAAGTGTTTTATTATATTGTACGTGCGTGTATATATATTTAAGAATCGTACAATGAACTATATATAAATGTAGACAATATCTATTAAAATGCGAGTAGTATATTAATAATTGTTTATTTGAAATGTTTGAATATGCATTATGATTAGAATTTATATAAAAGTATAGGTATATATTAGGAGTAAGTCAGATCTTAACTATAAAATTAAAAGTAATAAATTTAATACAAAATTAAATAAAGCTATTTAAATGTTTAGGTAATAGTTAGTATTAGTACAACATTTTAAAAAGTGCACTGGTTAAAATTGTTAAAAAAAGACATTACAGTAACGATATTTTTTTCATTTCAATTGAACATAAAAACGATATGTATACATGGGTTGTTTGCATATGCACAATTAATTCTGAGTTAATAAACTAAATAAATATTTACAATGCTGATGATACATCATTAGTACTATAAATATTTATTTAGTTTTGCAATTAATTGCTTGATCTATATTTACAGAAATATAATAATCAATAAAGGTACTATACCTATACCTGTCGTTTTGCTAATTGGTGTATTTTGTTTGTGTGCAATATTTAACAGAAAATTGAATAAATACTTAAATAAAAATAACTTCTATTCATTTTAAATTAATATGAAATTATAAAATTAAACACGTTATTAAATTCATTCAATTAAAATAATAATCGTTATAAATATTATAAACGTGAAAGTGAATTTGTTTGTAACCTATTAGTGCCTTAGTACTAAATGAGATGGAGAAGGATATAAGCTACTTTTAATCCCAATTAATCAACATAACCCAGTAACGAAAACAAAGTAAAAGCTAGTAATGATATAAAAATAGCCCGAAGGATCAACAAGCTGAAATAACAAT